TTCTTCTATCTCTCTCTCTCTCTCTCTCTCTCTCTCTCTCTCTCTCTCTTCTTTCTTAGAAATTTAATATATAATATTATACATTTTAAAACTTATATATTAATTTTAAAACTGGAATGTAACGTTTTATTAACATTTTATTTTTCATATGCTTTTGCAAATAAAATCAAACAAGCTATATTTTCAATTGTAAATTAAAAATAAAAAATGAAAAGTTATAATGACATATTCGATAAATATTTATTAAAATTATTTTCAATAAGATGGGAAAAAATATATTATATAATTTGAAAATTTCTTTAATAAAAGAAATACTTAGTTTATATTGAAATTAAAAGATGAAATTTCTATCGTTGTGATTTTACAATCATATATATTTGTTTAAATAAATAAATAATTATCCATCAGGATATTATTTATAATTATAATTTATTAATAAAGACAATTAATAATTAGTAATATATTATCAAGAAAATTATAAAAATGTCAAAATTCCACAGAGGATCAAAAATACGATTTAAATGAATAGGAACGAAAGAGTTAAAGATATATTGATTCAAATAGAAAATTTAATAAAACTATTTAAAACTATATAGAAATGATGAAAAAATTATAAAAAAAAAATAATTAAAAAAAAATTATTACTCACATGCAGATAAAATACATGCTGGTTCAACAAGATTCAGATATTAACATTTGAACTAAATTATTTCCAACCATTCCATTAATTCGTTAAGATATGAAAAAAATTGTTCACATGCATATATCTATAAAAAGAGTTGATGTATCGAAGAAAAAATTTATTGTTAATATAATAAATAGTTATATATTATCATGTAACGTTAAATAGATAAAGCATTCAATTAAATTATAATAAATTATTAATTTAATATCAGAGAATAATTACCTATACAGATGCCTAAATTAACATTATACATAAACCCTTTGTCACATTTTATATCACACTCATAAGCACCTTCGGTATTACGACATTTCTCCGTGTCTTCTAGACAACTATGAATTTTTTCTGCGCATTCATCGACATCTGGAAAAAGAAATAAAAGTTTAAATTAATATTTCTTTTTTCAGTATAGAGAAATTCTAAATCTGTATTTTAAATACCTTCGCATTGCTGTGAAAAGTTATTGAACTTAAATCCAGCAGGACATGATTTTATACCTTTTATTTCTAAACAACTAAAACTACCTTGTGTGTTAACGCAAACATTTTTGATTCCACGACATGGTTTAGGTAATATTAGACACTCATCAATATCTGAAAATATTATAGAAAATTTTAATTCTATTATTATATATTTATACATATTAATTTATGTCTTTTCATATAAAATATTCTCTTTTTTAATCATATCATATAATAAATTAACATGATAACAAATAATAATAATAATTTTTATTGTAACTTAAATAATGAAAATAATTAATTTAATTATATTTTGATTTATTTATAATCTTATTAATTTAATAACTACTATTAAATTTATAATTAATCAATATTAGAGATTATATGCTATAATAATATGATGTATTATTAAATATTTTGTAACTATTATAGATATAATTTCACTTATTATAAATTTAACTTGAAATTTGCATCATCATAATTCTCTCTCCAAGAAAATATAAAATATTTATTTACATAAAAAAAAAAATCAGTATTTCTCATTGCATTAATTACTCTACATTTTTATAAGTAAATTTTTCAATTTAAAAAAATATCTTTATGATTCTTTGAAATAGAATATTTTTTATTATTAATTTTTTGATAACAAATGAAAACAATTCATTATATACACAAAACTTTAAAATAATAATATATTGATGTCAATAAAAGATATTAACAGTAATAATCCAAAATTAGAATTAATAATTACATGGAAAAAAAATTCTTATATTTTTTACATATTTCTTTTTACCTAAAAATTTTAATCATTAATATTTCTGTATATATGAGTTTATTAAATTTATAAAAAATATATTATTTTATTATGTAACAGATTCAATTATAACATACAAATAATTTCAATAGTTTCTCCAAACAACAAAAAGAATCAAATAAATTAAATATATATTAAAAATTTTTTTTCAACGAAAACAGAAATTATAAAATAAATTATTGGAATTAAAAAAAATCAGTAGATTATTAAATTATATACCTGAGCAAAGGCCAGTGGTAGACTCCCATTGGTATCCAGGTGGACAATCTTCATAAGGATCAATTTTGAGTCTATTTTTTGATGTGCATATGTAAGATCCTATGGTATTCTCACAATAACCAGGACACATTCTTCTTTCTATACACTCGTTCACGTCTAAGCGGTAGTAATACATGATGCGAACAAAAATAACCATAGACATAAGCAAAAAATGCAATGCAAAATCTCAAAAAAAGATGTTTGAAAATAAAGCTCATATCATTAAGCAAACATAAAATAGGCTTGAAGACGAGTTTGAAACTTGTGAAAGCAATGAAAATTTTGTAATGGTAAAACATATTGAAAATGAACAAAATAAGCAATTCAAATAAGAATCATTCAAATTATCATTAATTCAATCGGTCAAAAATCGATTAATTCAAATTAATACCATACCAGACAAAGAATCTTGATATTGACGTTTGATCATTCTTCAAGGAGTTTCAAACAATCAATACATATACATATATGCATATGTTAGTCATGTATATCAATATTTCAAGATTCTTATTATTCGTACGTACAAACAATCAATATACAGGATGAGACACTTAAAATAGATGCTACCTTTTGGTTGTTAATTATGATATCACTTGCATCATGGTATTCAATGGCATAATTTAATGTAAATTTTTGATATATGGATATGTAAAGATCAATTTGAAAATTTTTTAAATGATAATATTAAGAATTAATTATCGCTCATATAAAGTATATTATTTTCCCTTTGATTTTGATGTTTTTGAACGATCTCGAATCATTGTACACGTTTTAAAATATTAGTTGGTAAAAAAAAGATCATATCCATTCCATTTAAAAAAAATAAAAGTGATCTTTCATATGAACTCTATATTCATTTATTTACATTAAATTAAAGGAATTATTTATATGAAATTATATATTTTTTTAACATCAAGTTCTAACACATTTGTGTCTAACACATTTTTCGTACCACTAATAACAATTGAGATATTAATAATGCAAAAGTAGTTTGTTTTAGATATTTCATTCAATATGTTATTAATAATATTATTGAATAATATTGTTCATAAGAATGTTGAGAAACTATATTGATCGTATAAATTCATTCATTCTATTAATAAATTATAGATTACGATCTGATAATAGAAATACACGTGCAGCAATTTTAGTTTATTGTCTAATTTAAATAACAAAATGATAAAAAAGACGGACAAAGTTCTGACACCGAACTATCCTCTCTGTTGCCAATCTCCTACCAATTTATTATTAAAGCAATTTCAAAAAATTATTTATTTTTACTTATTAAAAATTGTTTTATTTTATTTTATTCTTTAAAAATATTAATTTTTTTATTAATTTTTATATAATTGATTAATACTCATTTTAAAAGTTATAAACCCCCTTTTTTATTATCCTTTTGTATATAAATTAATTCATATTTCATATAAATATTATATATTGCTAATTACGTCTGACGAAATTAATTTTTATTGATAATTAGTGAAAATTTGATATTTTTAGTATTTTTTTCTTACTTACCATCGCAAACTTGATTAGTAGCATTGTAACGATAACCAGCTGGACAAAGAAGTGAAAAATCATTATTATCCTCCGGAATAGTAGTAGCTTTAGCTTCCGATGGTTTAGGTAAACAAGAATGTTTATCATCCGCTAATATATAACCAGGATTGCAACTGCATGTAACCGCAACTCCATTATCCGTACAACGTTGTTCACACGGATTACTAGATTTACATCTGTATCAATTAAAATTATACAATTAAATATTCCTTTATTAAGATATATAATGATAATATTTATAATAGAAAAATATGTCATCTTAAATTAATGTTATTTTTTTATGAAGAGAAGATCAATAATGCAAAAGTGAAAAAAAAATTTGACTTTGCACAAATATAGTTTAATAGATATAATGGAATTTGTTTTGAAACTTTTGTTTTGATAAAAGACAATTCATAAAATATTAAAAATATAATAAAAAAAATTAATAAATTCTTATATTATAAATTTATATTATTTATTAAATTAGAATATGTAACAATTTTAAAATATTTATAGAAAGTATCGGTTTTAAAAAGATTTTAAAAAAAATTGAAGAATGTGATATGTAAATATAAAATATTCAAAAAATTCGAAAATTTTTATTAAATAAATTATTTATTATAAAGCATAATAAAATTTACAATAAATCTCTTTCAAAATTCTCAAAATTCTTTCTATAAGTATACACTATTGGAAGAGTTATTTTTTATTTGTAAATACATTTTTAAATCGATTTCGATTTATTTTATTTTTTTTTTTCTTATTGCAATTTGACGATTATTTAATTTTTTTGTATCTTATTTATGTTTTTTTTAAAGAAGTTTCTTAAAAATAAGAAAAGAAAGAGATCAGTTAATTATTAATCTGGCAAAGAAAAAATAATTAACAACATTATCATTAACATTATTAAAATGCGTTTTAAAAAAAGATAAAATATCTAATATTTAATATACAAGTTGGAAATAACTTCTAACGATTTTTTATATTTAAAAAAGGATTCCTTTAGAAAAGTTTCGTCATAAATTTCGTTAAACTTTGAAATGAACAATTTATGGCAAAAATTTCCAAATTTTTTCGAACATATTTTTTATTTTATAAAACTTCTATACCTATCAGTTGGTAGATCTTGTCTACAAGTTTTCCCATCTTCTAATAAAGTAAAACCTTCGCGACATTTGCAATAATAAGATCCTGGTGTAGGAACACAAATATCAGAACATAATAATCCTTTCATAAGTTGGCAGATGTCATCTAAAGCTATAAATTAATATTTTTAAATTATTATTAAGTAGGTATATTAGTATTAGTAGTTAATTAACAATTTTAAATTTTAATATTAATTATAATAAGATAATTTATTAAAATTTAAGAATTCCTATATTTTTATATAAAAAAATATTTTTTTGTTCAATTTAGCTTGTATTATAAATATTTATTTAAAACTGCTTAAATCAGTTTTATTTTAAATTGCTATATAACAACATAATTATATCAATTACAGGAATCGAAAAACGAGATAATTTTTTAATAATTTTTACAAATTATAAATTACAAGTAAACATTTATAAATAAATTACAATTTAAAATTAAATCGTGACTAAAAATATTAAAATTTAATATTTTTAAAATTAATTTTTTATTTTTCTAAACTGCTCAACAATATTGATGCAATTTTTAAAATTTTATCTTAATAGAAATTTAATATTGTTACTTACGAGGTGTAGGTATCGATGGAGAAAAGGATGTTGATGAAGCTAATGTAGTTTGAGTGGACAATGAAGAAGAAGAAGAAGAAAGTGATGACATTGAAGTTGATTCACTATTAGTAGTCTCACTGGAGGATGTTGCATTTGTAAGATTTGTAGTAAAAGTTGTTGTTGTACTTGGTGATGCTTCGTAACAACATTCCAAAAAAGCAGGATCCCATGGATTGCCAAAGGTAAATTTCTTAAAAGCACATCCTTGTCCCATAGATCCAGTTAAAATTCCTTTTTTAATAGAATTTAAAAATTACTAAAATAATTAATTATATATAATAATACATTCGAAAGAACAATTACACAACTGCAAACAAGTCTATTTTCAAAAGATGAAGAAAACTAATTTTTCTTTGATCAAATTTAATTAAATATATAATTAAATACAAACAATTAGGCAATTATTTAATTAAAGCAATTACTTATTAGTTACTTTTAAATTGTATTATTCAAAAATAGATATTACTTATTATTATAATATTATAATTAAAATGTTATTAACTTGTTTTAAAACAAATATAATATTAATACTACAATTATAATTGAAAATTGTAAAAATTTTTAATTTTCTAGTTATATTATTATTTTTCTAAATCAGCACTATGTATTTTCTTCTTATAAAATAAACATTAATTAATAAGAATTAAATTATTAAAAAAAGGAATTATTTTATTAAAAAAAATAAACAACTCATTTAGACAAAAAGGAATGAAAAAAAAATATCGTCATCTTTATTTTCATTTGTTAAAATATGAAAGAGTGATTTGAAGCATTAAAATTAATTTGCAATTACATGATATATCTTCAACATGTGAAAAAATAACTATTAATCTTAATACCAATAAAATTTATAGATTAAGGGTATTTATGCGAAATTTGAATGTTAAAAAATCTATGAATATAAAAAGACGGAATAACCAAAGTATAACGTTTATAAATATAATTTTTATTCATGTTCATAAAAATTTAATTCTTGCATTAAAATCTATTTAATAATCTGAATAGATAAAAATGATTAAAAAACTAAAAATTTTATAAACATCTCATTTAAAAAACATTTTTATATTTAATATTTAATAATTATATTTTTGAGCAGATTTTTTTTCTTCAATTTTATCCTTTCCTTTTGTGTGTGTATGACTTGAATTAGGGAATAAGGAAAAAAATATTGGAAATGAAATAAAAAGAAACAGAATGTTTGGAAAAATTATACGAATATGCAAATTTACCTAATTTACACGCTTCGCAACAGTCACGATGATAATCACCAGGTCCCAAACGTTTACTTTTACTGCCGGAAACACACGCTAAACCAGCATGTGCGTCCAATTTCCCTTTCTTGCATTGTTGTTCGTGATACGCTCTCACGCAACAGATGTCCACAGCCTCTAAGCAAAGTCCTTGTTCGACTGTCGGCACTCCAGACACTGGACCTGAGAACTTTTCACACCTGAGCCCTTCCAAAGCCCATGAAGTACCAAGTCCGCAACATTTTTCAAATTGCTCTTCCATTCTGGCTTCACTGAACAAAATTCCTATGAAATGAAGTATACCTATTATATGGTATAACTATTAAAATAGAAACTATGATATATTATTGTTAGGGAAAAAATTATCAATAGATTTACCAGTAGATTCAATTTTTGCTATTTTATTTCATTATATTTTATTATCTTATCTAATTATCACTGACACAGTTAAATTGACGAAGAAAGAAATTAAGATTAGTTCTTTTCAAATAAGAATTGTAGTTTCAATAAGAATTAGAAATCGTAGTATGTGTTTGTAAAATAATTTTTATGTATTCATATGCCTCTATATTTATTAAATTTAACATTCGTTATTCTTTTTTAACAATAAAATGCTTTGATATTTTTCCAAAAATCTAATATTTTAATATCAAAAATTTATTCCGCATAATTCACTTTCTATCACGATTCACTCTTTCAATATCTGTTTAAAATTTATTTAAGCCTTATTCTAGTATTATTCTTTTATATTTTATTAATTTTGTTAATTTTTATTAAAAAAATTGATTTTAATTCGATATTCGTCCATTCTTTAAGATTAATAAAGAATATATAAATGTAGAAATTTCATTATATTTTCTAATAATAAAGTAAATGAAATGAGTACAATTCATTCAGAAAAATTGATATCGATTAAAAAAGATGGCGTCAATGAATTTGCTATAAATGATTATTAAAAAAAAAAAAAAAATGATGAAAAGAAATAAAAGTTTAATTATTTAAATTATTTCTAATTCATAAAGAAAATTATCAAATTGACGATAATGTTAAATTGGCCATTTTGTGTTAAAAATAATCTAGCTTTTAGATCACAAAAATTAAATAACTTAACTTTTATCATTCTTTTCTTTTTTCTTTCTACGATATTTTTTTAATTACTATTTTTATATATTTCTTACGAATCTTAATTATTTCATCACTATCTATATTTTCGATTATTATAAAATTGATGATTGATAATAATTTTACACGCCAGACAATAATTTCCAATTTCGAAAAAAGCTTTCATGTTTTCATCACTTTTAATAAAATGTCTCTATTTTGCTCCAAAATTTATAATTATAATAAATAACCTTTCAAAATAATAAAATTCTAATTTTGTTAATTCAATTTTTTAAAATTCAATTCTTTTCTTTTAAATGTCAATTCTAAAAATAAATTTATCGTATAGAATAAAATTTATATAAGATTTAAATTATTTTTCAATTTTTTGTAAATTGTTTTTCTTTTATTGTTTTCAATTGATCACAAATAATTCTTAGAACTATGAAATGATATAGAGACAGAAAAAATAGTTATATTTGATAATAAATTTAAACATCGTGGAGTTATCTCTTATTTGCATATTATTTTCACGAACTTTAGATACAATTTAAGTCCAATGTAAGATTTTACCTGTCGCTGCAATAAGTGCAGCGATAAGAAGAAAAATTATATAGATAAATGTTTCTTAACAATCTTTACTATTTCGTTTTCGCTCAAAACTTGTTTCATATAATGAATTTTCATCATATTCTATTTTCATATCTTTTTTTATAATCCTCATTAAATTATTATTAAATTTTTTTATATAATATAAATATATCTATATTTTATTTAAAATTTTTCATTCTTTAAAATAATTGATCATCCATATATTTCATTCATACAATAAATTTAATTTTGAATTGAAAATTTTAAAAATTTTAAAAATAAGTTTTAAACAATTAGATAGAATAATAAGATAATAGATGTAAAATGAATGTAACGCAAATAGGTACAAGATATCTAAAAAAAAATCTCTGATTCATAATATTTAACTTTGTTTTATTTTTAAATGATTTCAATCATATAAGTCATGAATTAAATTTTTACATTATAATAAAATAAGAATAAATAACTATAATGTATAAATTAAAATTATTTATTATGCATTTTTCTTTCGTTATTATTCTTTCATTGTTTTTATAATAATATAAGTAACTAATTGTTTAATATAATTAGAATATATTATGAATATTAATATTTGTACTATAAAATCTAAATAAAATAATTTACATATTCATTTATTCCTTAATTTATCAACTTAATCAATTAATAATATTCATATATTAATGTAAAATTGAATTTTTTATCTTTTATAAGAAAGGCTATATAATGTTTGCTTAAAATGAATATAAATGTTTATATATTATGTACTCTATAAAAGATAATATTGTTATAGTATTCAAATAGAAATCCCCATAAATTAAAGATTACACATTGAGCAATTGATAATTGTTTCATAATCTAATGAATCTATGTAGTTTGTACATATATTTCATGATTTCATTACAAAATTGTTATCCTTTTTAATTAAATATATTTTAATCATATCAAATTAATTTAAATTTGATTCAAGAAAAGAATTTATTTTTTTTAAATCATTGTGGTCATTTTATCTAATAAACTTATCTTAAAACTAAAATTTTTTTAAAATTATTTACATAGATAAAATCATTTACAATGAAATTTCGTGAAATAATAATAAAAAGTTAAATATATATTGAAATATTATAAAGCTATAAAATTATTTTAATATAAAATTATTTTGTTTGTTATAAAAAGAATGCCTTTAAATTTAATTATTAATATTTATTATAAACAGATATAATTAATAATCGAATAAATAAAATTTATTAGAAACTACTTCTCATTTATTTTTTTTTCTCTCTCTATTTATTTCTTACTTTTATTATAGATAGAATATTTATAATTTTCTAATATATTATAAAATAATATAACTTACAATATGTTATAATAAATTATAATATAATAATATTATAATATAATTATAATAAATAATATATAATTTTAAAGAATTTTTATAAAAGTGATAAATTCAAATAAGTAATTACATATTATTGTTAAAAGCATACTTTTTTTTTATTTATCTAATAGATTAGAAATAGTACGGGCAAACTAACTTTATTCATTCTCGAACCCGGAACTCCATATTTCTCCTATAATATTAACTTCCGTATCATTTTTCAAACATTAACTTAGTAATTAAATGCTATTTTGAATGATAAACAACATCTAAACGTCTTAAAGCTCTACCGAACGTTATTTTATACGTATTAACTTCAATTACCAATTCTAAGAAATGAAGCTCTCAATGCGTATTTACAATTTATATTCTTATGAATGAGAAACAATTTAAACAATAAAATTTACTTATTCGTTTCTCACTAACTAACAATAACCAACATGAGAAATTCGATAGAATTTTTAATACGAATAATACCTTGCTTTCGAAGAGAAAATTCCTCCAATTGAATGGTTAGAAGTAAGAAGAAAATCATACGTAGATCCGTGAATCGAGTCATCTTCTCTCTTGAACTTTTTGTCGAAATTAATCGTATCACAATCTTTTCTTTTAATCTATCTCTTAAATTTTATCTCTTTATTGTTGCCAGTTTGATTGATATAAAAGCAAAAAATCGCTTCTCTTTTATCGGATGCGCTCTGATCAAACGCTCAGCATGCATTAAAGCATTCAGTTTGCCGGTACCACGGTTTTCTTCTCTGCACCTTTCTATGTGCATCTCATTTCTCGGATTGTCCTTCTCTATCCTTATGGCTTATTTCCTCTTCCCCCATATACTACCTCTCTCTTTGGTATGCGCGCGCATAGATACTAGAGCAATCTCATCATCAGTAATGGCACTGATCTTAAACTTGCTTGGATGTTCACCCCAATGTCCGACTTTTTCACGTGTTTCATCTATTTCTTCATCATTTTATCATTATCTAAGTTGTTTTATTCATAGCGAATAATTCAATGTTACAACATCAGAAGATATATGTTTGAAATTTGTTAAAAAAAAATTTGGATTATTAAGTTTTATGTATTAAAATGTATAGAAAAAAATATCTAATAAACAAATATTAATGCAAAAAAATATGAATTCAAAAGCGATATTCGAAACAATCTCTATATGAGTTTCAATTCATGCGTAGTTGTATTTTAGATTGTATACCTTTTATAGATTGTCAACTTAACACAACAACCAAACATGATAGCAGAATTATAATGCTATAACGATTGTAATATATTTTTTCTTTTTTTATCACTTGTTAAATACATAATTTAATCATATATAATATGAAGTATCTAATTTTGATCAAGAATAAATAATATAATTTTACTTAAAATCACTAAATAATATACAATATTATTATTTCTGATATTTAATTATGAATAATAGTTATAATAATAAATTAAAAAGCAATTGTATCTAAGAATTAAAATTTGTAATTATTAAATTAAACAATTTGCAACACTTTACTAAAAGTTAATTAAGAAATTCAATTTTAAATTTTCATTAAATACAATGTATGTAAATATTACTTTAGTCTCATCATTACTACATTAATGTGTCTCTTTTTTTTTCTTTTTTTTTTTGAAAGAAAATCCCTCTCCTTGAATTTCGAGAGCCTGTTGATCATAGTACTGGTGACTTCTTCCGCGGCATGTGTTCTTGGCTCGATGTCAGCATAAAAGATCCTTTTTTTGCCGGTATTCTGTGGACAGTAGACGCTTTGTTGATCTTGTGAATTTCCGTACTACCCTTATACCGACAATCGGAATGCTTCCAAATATTTCATGTATTTATATCTTATATCAATTTTAAAATCAAAATCTGATAAACAATTATTTTTTAGAAAATTATATTATTTTTAATTAAAATTGAAATTGTTTTTAAAATCTTTTAATAAATTTAATATTTATTAATAAGTGAATATAAGATATTAGCAATTAAAAAAAGAACTTATTGGATTATATCTAATAGTTATTTCTTCTTAATTTTATCATTTTAAATTTGTTTGGTAAAGTTTGTTTTCCAAAGTCACATATATGTATATAATATAACATATGTGTATAACATGTTAATATAATACTTAAAATATCTCAAAAATATTAATAAATTTAGATCCATTGGATTAAAGCATAAAAATCAATAGATCAATATGCTAAATTTTCCTAAATAGTAAATTTTTATCAACATACTATATATAATAAGTGATAATAATTTTTTAACAGTTAAGATAATTTAAAAAAAAGAATTATGCAAGCATTTTGTATAAAAAAAAAACATTAAAAAACATATTTAAAATAAATTTTTAATGAAAACATAACAAATAGTATACTAATTAATATTAATGTATTATTAGTTATATACGTATAAGAAAGTAAAAAATATCGAAACAAAAGAAATTAGCATTATTTTTTCTCGATAAATATCAGTTGATCTCGGTAGCAGAGGAAAAAAAAACATGCAGCAGGAGTAATAGTCAGTAGGCCGGGAACCGTCACCGAGTTAGTGAGGTTGCGATGACCGTGACACGTGCAACTCCATGGCGATCATGTAACACCAGGTCACAGTATCTTGTGTTGTGAAAAAATCGAATATTTCGCCATCCACGTCGGCCGCCTGCATGCTTACGCATCGTCGTCGAACCTGAAGTGCTTCTTTTGCGTCCTTCTTGATAGCAACATGTGGATGATCTACTTACTTACTTATATATACATATGTACGAGTATAAAAGAGGCCAAGAAGTTGAAATAAACAACGCGATGATATAATACGAGAAAGGTAAAGAATTTCTTTTAATCATTTGTAACCATTAAGTTTCTCGAAAGCATTATTTTGTTCATTTGATAAAATCCTCTTTTCCATCTTTAATTTTCTTATTTCGTTA